TCTTGTAAGAATAGGGGTCATAGGTCAGGACAGACAGACCTCAAAGGATCTGGCCTATCAATTCATGCCTGAAAGATTTCTCTGCCACAATGGGAACCTACTAAACAGCAAATTCCTAAATCTAATCACATAAGTATCAGGGTGAAATTGTTATTTATTGGAATTCATCAATTTACATCTTTTCAAACACCTCTAGCACCTAAACAGCATTTTAATTTTCTTTTGGAAACAGGTTCTGGGATATAGTAAACATGAAGACAACACTACTGAAGGACTTCTTAACGTGAAACAGCAAAGTCTAAGCATAGGCTTATTATTTTCAGGAATGCTATTAAGATTTCAAAAGACACAGCACAAGATTTCCCACATAAAGTAACTAGAAGCCGCCGAATTTCACAATAGAGATAATGAATGGGAAAGGTTATAACAGTGCAGAAGTGGGGTGAGGGAAGAACTACCGGTACCCAATTTATAGCTCTCTTGTTCTAAGAGTGAGCATCATAGAAATATTTTCCATGGGGTAAATAAAACATACAGCTCTTTATTAAGCAACACATGGCAACTTTTCTAATCCCGAATCTCTTCCAAAACTTTCATACAAATTTAAAATAATTTAAGCCCACAAAATTATAGTTTTATAAAAATCAACTACCATACATCTCATGTGAAAACCAGGGTCATGTGTGTATGTGTGTGTGCCCACACGTGTGTCTGTATGTGTGTGTGTGCACGTGCACACGCGTGCACATATTAAATCTAAGCTGAGTTTAAACCAGATACAATATAATTAGATTCTATTTATACTCACCCTGGTCTTTTTGGCAATAAAGACAGCATATCACAATGTGTCATTTCAATACCAGGCATGTCAAACTAAGAATTAGTGTAAATAAAAACCATCTAGAGCTAAAGACTCTTTTTTAATAGTACCAAATAAAGGAATTCCCTGAACTTCCACAAAAAACCTTAGCAATTAGCATCCTTTAGAAACAAAATATTAGATAGAATATGAAAAAGTACTAATATGTTAATATGGTTTTAAAAATTAAATATTGCACCAAATTAACTAAAAGCACTGGAATATTCTCTAAGTCAGCTATTTTTAAAAATCGAAACTACTTTTTATAAATTCAAGTCATTGCTGTTAGAAAAGGCCTTCCATTATTATCAGAGTGTGTGGTTGGGTCAGAAGATGTGAAGGTTAAGGAGAACAAAGACAACAGTCACTATGCTGGGGAAAACAGAAACTGTAAACAGACAAGTCCCAGGACCAGATATTTATACCTTCCATAAGGGAATTCACCACCAATGTTCTTAAACGTTACACGTATTTCATTTACTAATTATTTAGCATCAAGTCACTTATCTATACAAAGATTTCTAGACCAATAGTCTCACTGAAAGTCTGTCTAGTCATTCCAAATATCTGCAAGTATAAATCAAAATTTCATACTGAAATCCAACAGTACTAATTCAAGTAAATAGAATGACAAAGGTATTATTTTATTAGCCTATCTCAAATTTAATTGTTAAAATTGACTTCTTGTTTTCATAGTAAACTATGTTCTTTAGAGAAAGGTACCAAGACTAGACTAGTTTTTGAGAAAAAAGCATAAGGTCTCTAATTTTTCATCAGTCATCTTCATTTTATAATGAGGAAAGCTACAAGGGGGTTTTGTCTCCATACTCTTCTGAAGACAACCTGAACTAAGATAAAACAAACTAAACAGTAAATACAAAATTATTTTATCTGAAACTGTAAGAAATCTTTCTACCATGGAAGAATTTTTGAACACTCTTCATTTTAACAGACAGTATCTAATTCATGATTCATAAATGAAAATGAATCAATCTAAATGTTACACCAGATACAAAGTAAACTCTAATTGAATCATTAAGCAAATGTAAATCATATTACTATAATAAGAATAATAAAAACCAAAAAGCACCCTACTAGAGAGACATGGAAGGAAATACTGTGATCTGGTGTTAAGCAAAAAATTCTCTTTTGATTTTATTTTATTTTTTTGGAGGGGGGGTTGTTTGATTGTTTTTGTCAAGACAGGATTTCTCTGTGTAGCTCTGGCTGTCCTGGAATTCATTCTGTAGATCAGGCTGTCCTCAAACTCAGAGATTGCTGTCTCTGCTCCTACGTGCTGGGATTACAGAGGAGGCCACCATGCCCACCTTTTAAGCAAAGGATTCTTAAGCATGACATCAGGCAAAGGATAATTAAACTGTCCTCATCAAAATAAAAAAAAAAAAACTCTTGTACTATAAGATTATCCATGAGAGAGAAAAAAAGGCTACAGAATAGGAGAAAATATCTGCAAAAAGTTTATCTGGAAAATGTCCTGTATTACAATGCATAATAAAAGCTCTCAGAATAATAACAAGAAAATAAATATCTTGCTGGGTAGTGTTGGTGCATGTCTTTAATCCCAGCACTGGGGAGGCAGAGGTAGGTAGATCTCTGTGAGTTCAAGGTTAGCCTGAGCTAAAAGAGCTTGCTCTAGGACAGGCACCAAAGCTACAGAGAAACCGTCTTAAATAAAAAGAAAGAAAAAAAAAAAAAGAAAATAAATATCTCATTTAAAAAAATGCACAGGCACAAACAGTACCATTTATTCTCTGGAGTACCAGAGAATAAAGAGAGCAGCATCAAAATGCTTTGAACAATGTTTAGGATCAGCAGCCATAACCATGACAATATACGCTAATTACAACCATGACCACTACATATATGGGGTAGCTAAGCCTATGTTCAGCTGAAAAACATCAATTACTGGAAAAATGCATAGCAGGTGGCTTGCACACTGTTGACAGAGATACAGAATGTGGCTCCCTTGCAAAACCAAGGTAAACACATACCCATGACCATGGTATATAGCTATCCCACCCCAAAACCGAAGACTAACATGCATTAAAAACCCACAGTTGAGTCTTCTGCCATGCTGTTCATAACAGACACAACAGGAAAATACCCAAATCCCTCAACAGATGAATTAAATAGATACTGTTATAGCATAATAAGGGAATATTACCCAACAATTAAAAGAATGGACCACTGAGACATTCAACATTACAGATAAATTTCAAAAGCTTGATAATGAAAAAATGGAAAATTTCAAAAGATTATGAAACAAATAAATCTGTTCATATGACACCCACCAAAACAAAACCAATAATAACATGAAAGAACAAGTTACCAAGTTGCCAAGGGGATAGATTAGGAGTGGGAAGCTATAAAAGGCAGTGGGAGGTTGTTTGTTGGGGGGTAATAGACTGTTCAGAGTAAATCATAATGGTGAGAGGAGCAATGTATGCATGTGAAAATCAAAGAGCTGTGCATAAAAATATAAATTATTATGTAAGTTTGAGACATAAAATAAAATCAATATTCCAAATAAGCAAAACATACAAAAATGTACCAATGTTAGTTTTTCTTTTAAAAAAGAATTAACTAGAAGTTTGCCTTTTTCATGCTTCAATGGACCAAATCAACTACTTACTGTCATTTTTTAACTATACAGCATTAAGACCAAGGCCTTGCACATAACAAGGCAAGAACTTCCCCCATGAATCCGTATCCCCAACCCTAACACCATTATTTTCAAAATTTTGTAAGTTCTAAGCTCAAAAGTGGCTTACACCAGTACCCAAATCTCTAAACGTACTTCTCTTCATCTTGCATTGCTTATAAATTAAGAAGAGTATACTGAGTTCTCTGAAACTGGAATCTACCCACATTCTTTCTGTCTGCCTTTACACTTAAAGGCACTAGAAGAATGAGAGGTATGAATTTTGAAGCACTGGACTGCATCTAGATTGTAGTTTGTATTTGAGTGCTAGTCCCTTGATGTTAGATTGAGGTTATTCATCTTCACCAAGGCTGTCATGTAAGTCACGGAGTGCTGCATTCTGTCATCGGATGCCATGCACTTTAAGTTTTCCCTTTACTGATAATTTTTGACTTTGACCATGTGACCAAGATGTTATGTGGCACACTTCTCTATTCATATACATTTGTAATTAGTAAGCATTTTGTTGGGGGAGATGCCTTAAGACTGTAAGTAATCCATCTCACATCACACTGAAAATTTTTCATTTATTTCTTACTCAGAGCCATTGGTTTCTTCCCCATGATTTATAATTATAGAATTGCGATTGACTTCAGTGCTCAAATTTCCACTCCTAGCAACGTCTCCTAGTCAGCGCCTACACCTGTTTGACAGGTACCTATCATTTTTTAGGCACTGTTCATCATTTAACTCCATCTTCATGTAGGCTAAGAGTAAACCATTCACAATCACAGGGTTGTGCTTTCAATTCCATCTTTAACCTATGAATCAGTGCAGCCCTGTCCTCTCTCCTGCATGTTGAATCTTCCTTTTCTATTAAACCATTTCTCATCAACACATATACATTCTGTAAGTTCTTAACCCTTAGAAAATATCCCCACACAGTATCTGCTGCTTCTGCATCTTCTCCTATCATTCTCTGTTGAACAAGACACAAGCTTTCACTCCCACCAGTCTGCAGAGCTGTTCTTGTCACGTCCATTAGTCACTTCTGTGTTGCTAAGTGGTTGGAGTCTCAGTGATCATCGTGATCACTGTATCATCAGCATCTCTCAAAAGACCTCGTACTCACCTTCGTGATTGTTTTCCTTCCCAGTCTTCCAAAACAAAACCCTTCTAGATGACCTTCCTGTTCCCATTGCTTCGACATTCTTTTTCACTGCTCCTTCTCAGTGTTAGAATGACCCAGAGCTCATTCTTTTTTTTTCATTATGGGTATAAATATCATTTCACTGACTACTGCTGAACTTTTCTTTTTCACCCTAGAACTCCATATCCAGTAACTTTCCACCTAATTTGTAACCCTCTTGAATATTCATCATGTCCCAAGCCAAGCTGTCCATGTATTCCTGCTCCTGCAGTTTTTCACATCTTGGCAACTGGTCCCTCCATCTTTCTTGTTGCCCAGGCCAAACAAACCTTGGAATCATCCTGGACTCTTCTTCTCTCACAGTCCACATCTGATCCATCAGTAAATCCTGCCGTCTCCACCTTCAAAACATACAGGAATTTCGCTCACCACTTCTATGTCTACCACCCCAATCCAAACCACCACCATCTCTTTCTAGTACACTGGAAAAGCATCCGTTATTGATTTCTCAGCTTTACTTGCTTCTCCAAATTAACTAAAGTAACAAGTGTCAGGAGGTACTTTAAGAAGCATTACAATTTAGAGCTAAATGCTTCTGAAGAGCTTGTATTAAAGACGTGGCCCCCAGGAAGCATTGTTCAGAAGCAGGTCCTTTGGGAAGAGGTTCACTTTAATAGCATCAATGGGTTCATAGCTTAACAGGAAATTGGACTTAAGGATGTGGGGCCTAGTTGGCAAAAGTAGATTACTGAGGATGTACCTTCAGGGCCTCTGCCAACTCTCTCCTTTTTAACAGTCATGAAGTGAGCAAAATAAACTTCTCTTCTTTTAAGTTAATTTTTTCAAGTATTTTGTCATAGCAACAGAAAGCCAACTGGTATAAAGTGACAAATTAGATTATATTATGTTTTTTTTTAAAACTAATTTTAATGATGTTCTATTTTTTCTATAATCAAAGTTCATATGTGCAGCAGTCAAATGTTACAAAAGATAAAAACACTAAGGTCTGTAGATATGTAATTAGAAAAGACTAAATAACATTCAGAAAGCTATCACATTTCTGCTATGCTTTGCTCTTACTATTTTGGATAGCAGTTTAAAACCAGGTACCAAAAACCTTCAATACATAGTCTTGGTCCAGATTTTCAGTAGTGAATATTTATTCTAAGGATATAATCAGATAATATCTAAAAAAAATGTACACATAAGAATTGATACAGTAGTGCTAATTCCAAAGCACAGAAAACAGATTCAACAGCCCTGGCAGCACTGCTTGTAAATTATGGCAGATTCATATAGTAAGAATGCATGCAGCTGTTAATTACTGACATCTAAGAGTCGGCTTAAAAACAAAACAAAACAGCATATATTTTAACTTTTGCCTGCATTTGGGATTTCAAGTGACTTTCCCCCTAATGTCAGTTTTTTAATGTCTGAATTTTCAGAGCATGAGTAATCATTTTAAAAATAGACAAAGCAATCCATATACTCTCACTGGAAAAAGCAAGTGGAAGCAGAAAACAGAGAGAGGCATTTCTTCTGTAAGAATCTGAGCCGCTCCTCTGCTCCCCAGTCTGGGAAATGGCAGTCCTAGCACTGTTGCACACTTGATGCTAACTGCAGCTAAGCACTCTGAAGACTATTGTTTTGACAGTCTATCCAGCTACACAGTGATACTATTTTCTTTCAACTAGACTCCATAAAAATCCATAAACAAAATAATAAGGAAACTTTACAACATTTTCCAAATACAGTACACTCATAAGCCAGCCAAGTACAGTTACCTATCTCCCTTTGGTTTTCTTTTTTGCAGTGTCTTCCCTTTAGGTCTTCTTTCACTTCCTAAGCAGGGGCTCCCACCTGGGCCTGTTACCCGTATTGACTCAAGGCCTTTGGGGGATTTTTTAAATGTAAATTCCACTGGCTCTCCTTCTTTCAAGCTTCTAAATCCTTCCATGAATAGTTTGCTCTGTAAAGAGTAGGAGGGGGAGAGAGATCATGATTATCAGTGCTTTATATATCATCTGTGTAATTTTAAGGTTATCAAAGCAAGAAATTCTGTTATCCATTATAAAAGTATAGGTTTTCTTTCATTTTATTGAAGTTTGACAAACCTTACTTTACAATGCTGGCAGTTGAAAGCCTATACCACGTTGCAGAAAGCATTTAATGATACAGAAATGTAAATGTACACATTCTTGTCCCATCCATTCTACCACAAAGGTGCTAGTATAAAGTCAGAGCAATGCTGCCATCGTGACCTGAGCTCAGGCTCCAGGACCACATGGGAAAGGACAGAACTGACTCCAAGCTGTCCTCTGACCTCCACATGTGCACCATATTCACATACATACACATACATGCACATGCACACACACATGTGCGCACGTGTCCACAATAAATAAATGCAGTACACTTTAAAAAGAAGATCCTACCACATAAGCTCACACAGAGATTCATTTTTTTAAAGCAACTATAGCACTGTCTGGTAAATTGTATCATCCTTAATAGCATTTTAAGTCCACTGATTAAATAAATTGTTCTAGAGTTACATAATACAATATTATCAACATTAAGATTTCTAATTAGCTCTGGGCAGGTGGTTTTAGTGTTTCTGCCCTACCCCCTGCTCACTTTGTAGTGTGCTAAATAATGCCTTTTTTCTTTTGAAAAATATATTTAGAGCTACATGTATTAATGTAAAAAACATGTGACATTGTTGTGCCTAAAAAAAAATAACATGTGCCTACCATAATGCCATCCACAGTTTTTCTTTTATTTCTGAGATCACATTATATTTATATCATTTCCCCCTTTCCTTTCCTCCCTCCAAGTCCTCTTATATACCCCTCTTTGCTATCTTTCAAATTCTTGGCTTCTTTCTTCATTTATTGCTATTACATTTATATACCATGTGGGTGTTATATTTAGTGATATGCATATGTGCATATATGTATACACATCAACCACTAAATATAACCTGCACAGTCTGTACAGTGTAGCAATTTTTCAGGGATAACCATTTGGTATTGGGTCAGAAGTACAACTGTTAAAGACTCATATTTACTCTTGTAGAGATGGAGTACAGAGCAAGCCACGTGGTCAGAGTCACCTTTTCTACTCTCTTGTAAAGCAGAAAGTTTTCTATATGATAACTTGCTGTTTTGGGAGCATTTTATACTAGAACAATTAACTTACATTAATAAAAAAAACTTCTCAATTACAAAATTATAACTGTTGGGGAGTGCAGGTGTTACAATTTTACAACTCTGGAGCTGCAAAGATGTCCTGACTTATCAGGAAGCCAGGCTATACTTAGAGCGGCAACAGTACAGCTCTGGAGGGGTAGAGTTGCAATAGGACAGCTCTGGAGGCTAGAGTCACAATAGGACAGTTGAGCTCTGGAGGAAAAGGTGACCTGACTTGTCAGGAAGCCAGGCTACCTGAATCTGGGATGCGGTGGGGGACGCTCTCCCTGCAGGATATAGCAATCATGCTCCTCACCTGGAGAGCCTAAACAGCTGACTCTGCTCTGTTCCCCTAAGGGAATGCAGTAGCAGAGCTATCAGCTTTCTCACCCAAGATCTTACTTCTTTTGCTAACAGGCTGCTAAAGGGGAAGCCCTGCAGAAACTAGCAATCTCTTCTCGCTCCAGCAAAAACTTGTTACTTTTTCTGCTCAGATTTGTTCAGTCCCTCTTAGGGAGCATCCAAGCAAGGTTCTTCTATTTTGCTTAACCTCGCTCAGCCTTCCTAAGGGAGCGTCTCAGCAAGGTTATTCATCTCAGTCTCCTAAGGGACATCCCAGCCAGGTTCTTCTGCCCTGGTGAATAAAGAGCGTCACCCAAGACTCTTTTGAGAAAGAGATTTATTTGGGAAGGAGAGTGGCTGCTTCTGTCAGGTGGGTAAAAGGCAGCTTCCAACTGAACAGCAGAGAGGCTTCTTTTAGGGGCGGAATTTTCCCAGGGAGAAGAAGTATTACTTAGTTTTCCCTGCTTAGGGATTGGTTTAATTGGTCAGGGGCAGAGATGGCTCTGATCTCAGGGCCAAACTGTGTTTCTTTCACTGGCTCTAATCTTAGGACTAGGGCATATTTCTTTCACTGGCTCTGATTCTAGGGACAAAGTGTTTCTTTGGCACTGGTTTCAGAGTCAAGGCATGTTTCTTTGGTTCTGGGTTCAGGGCTAAGGGTGTTTGTTTCCTTGGCTCAGGTCTCAGAACCATAGTGCATTTTTATTTTACTGGCTTTGGGTTCAGACTCAGGGTGCTCAGTGATTGGCTGGCTTTTTGCTCCACCCTACAATAACCTGAATTTCAAATACTCCTTCACTAATTTAGTATTTCTTTTTCTGTCAAGGTGAATACGCTGATTTAAAATATAGTAAGATAGTTGAGTCATTAGATTTTTTATTTACCTGTCTGGATTCTTTTTGTGTATTTTGCAAATCCAACTTGAAAGACCTTGCAGTTTGTAAGGACTTCTCTGATCTAATGTGGAAGGCTGTGCAGTTTGTAGAGTTTTCTGAGTTTGTGTGGCAAAAGAAAGAAGCAGTCACCATCTGTTTTGCTAACGCATAAACTTAGGCACTTTGTTCTTAGTAACAATGGACCCAAAAATGAGACTGTGCTCCACTGAACATGTCAAATGCTGCTTCTCTTTGGAACAGCCACCTTCTTATATTAGTATCAAAATTGTCCTCTACTTCCCAACTATCTCCAGGATAAAAATCTTAACGCTGTATAATCCAGCAATGTCCTCACTTAGTTGATTAGATGTCAGAAAATCATTAGTTCGGGGGCTGGAGAGGTGGCTCAGTGGTTAAGAGCATTGCCTGCCCTTCCAAAGGTCCTGAGTTCAGTTCCCAGCAACCATATGGTGGCTCACAACCATCTGTAATAAGGTCTGGTGCCCTCTTCTGGCCTGCAGGAATACATGTAGACAAAATATTGTATACCTAACAAATAAATAAATAAATATTAAAAAAATAAAGAAAATGAAAATCATTACTTCAAGTCCACAACCCTAAAACCATCTGCTAGGGTTTAGACATATTTTATACCCCGCCCCCCAGTTTTGTGGAGACTGGCCCTACTAGGAGACCCACAGGTCACCTGGACTCATGCTCTCTAAAGAAACTGTGGACTGCAGTCTCTCTGACTTCCTGTTGTATAGTGCAATCTCTCGTCCTGCTGTGCATTCCCTCCATGATGCTGTCTACCCACTGGACTTTTTCCTCAGGCAGAAACAATATCCCTTGAGAAACAATATCTACCTGAGTGTGGACTTTGAACCTCTTGAACTGCGAACTACATAAGCCTCTTTTATGTTTAAAATTTGTCTTCATTACAGTAACAGTAAACTGGTTGCTAAATACAGTAGTACCCTTTACCCCTAGTTTGCTTCTCATAGTTTATATTACCTAAGGTAAAAGTAGTTAGAAAATACTAAATGAAAACAATCAGAAATAATTGATAAACTGAAGATGTAAATCAATTTGAGTAGTGACAAAATTACTGGCATCCCGCATCCCAAAGAGGATGAATCATCCCTCCAGTACCCTGTGCATATACTTCCTACCTGATCATTAGTGACTCACTATCATGGTTATCAGATCAACCCACGGCTCTGCACCACTACAACTCAAGCCACCCTTCTCTAACTTAGAAAGCGGTCATGGTGACAATGCAGTTATGCTAGAATGGTGCTACAGAGTCGTTTAAGTTAAAAGGTGAAAGGTAATGACTTAATAAGGGAATAAAAATATTCACATGGAGAGGCGTCAGGGATCAACAATGCAACAAGTTTATCCACGACATTACTGAAAAGAAAGGGGAATTCACTGTTCCATCTCAAACTGTAGAAATTAGGCCCACAAAGCATAGTGCTTAGTTCAGACAAAAAGGACACTGAATTTGTAAACTAGCTTAAATAATAAAACACAGCATATAGAGGATTTGGTCCACAGTGTTTCCCCTGCGTCCTCTTCCAGCACCCAATGGGTATCTTAGAATATATATTCCACATAGAAAGAAGAGTGCTCTGATGATAAATAGCTGAAATAATTACATGGTATACATAATGACATTACTTTAAAATTTAGTACAAAGGAGACTATTCATTGTGAAAATAAAATGTACAAGAAAATAAAAAACAAGCCAGGTGGTACTAGCACACACCTTTACGCCCAGCAGCTGGGAGCCAGAGGCAAGTGAATCTCTGAGTTCTGTGAGTTCGAGGCTGGTCTGGTCTACAGAGCAAGTTCCAGAATAGGCTCCAAAGCTACAAGAAATCCTGTTTTGGAAAGACAGAGAGAGAGAAAGAGAGAGAACCTGTTTCTGGTTTTTATGACTAAAGGCTGTGTTTTCTGCTGCCTGGCGGAATGTGAGGAGGGAAAAAGCCACAACTGCAACAGATCAACCATTTGGACAGTTCTAAGGCAGCTAGCTGTCCTTCCTCCCTGCTCAATAAATAAAGCTTTTTTATTTTAAATCGGGAGGAAAGCTAATAGTTGACTATTAACAACAAAGGGAAAGCTGTCTAGTCCCAGCTCTCCTATGCTCCAGTTTGTTCCGGTAACAAGCATCAGTCTGTAGTACAGTGCTGTACTTTATCAACCTAACTTGATTTTAGTCATCATTAAGATAGGCATAGTTTCTAGTTTGCACTCAGGCATAAGGATCCCCAGATCCAACTGGGTGGCAAGAGAGAAGACACTACCACAAGTTGTCCTCTAAACACCATATGGCATGCCTACATATTACACACATACACTATAAAATTTTAAAACAAAGTTATTTTTTAAATATCACCATGCAATTAAAGAGAGAACTCTTAGCAAATATTCTCTGGTTAAATCAAAATAGCTTAAATACAGAAGATCAAGATTTGCTGAAAGGGAGAACTATATTATTTTATCTCAAAATCTACCTTTACCCCAATCTACTGATTTTTATGAATGGCTCCATTGTT